TCCGAGGATATCAGACTCTCACTTCTTCACTCTTTCAAAGTGCACTCTGCCAGTGATTCTCTAGAAGCCTTCAGTCTCAGACTAAGGTAGCATCATTGATCCCTCTTCTTTTGAGGCTTCAGCCTCTTGGACTATAGCTACTGGTTCTTCCAGCTCTCCAGCTTGCAGACGGCCATTGTGGACTATCCAGCTTCTGGTTGCATAAGCCAACCTAATAAATCCACTTTTTATATTTATATTTTCTGTTGATTCTGTTCCTCTAGGGAACCCTAATACAGACCACTTGTATTAAGGACTTTTAACAATTAGGTTTGGGTCCTACACGCAAATTATTTTATCAACACTAGAGATCGGGCCTAGGAGTCTGTATTCAATAGGTCAAACTTGGATTTCAGTACCACTTATGCAGTGAACAATTACCTTATTTTAGTCAGCTTTTCACTGCTATCACCAAAAGTCCTGACAAGAACAATGTAGAAGAGGACAAGTTTATTTTGGTTCATGGTTTCAGAGTTTCAGTCTATGGTGGGCTGACTCCATAGCTCTGGGTCCAAGTTGAGGCAGAACATCATGGCAGAAGTATGTGGTAGAGGAAAGCAGCTCAGGACATGACAGCCAGTAAGCAGAGAGAGCATGGCTCACCAGGGACAAAACATATACCCTAAAGCCAGGCCACAATGACTTACCTCCTCTAACCCTATCCTGTCTGCCTACAGTTACTACCCAGTTAATCCACAACAGTGGATTATCCACTGATATGTTACTACTCTCTTACTACAATCATTTCACCTTTTACTGGTCTTGCATTATCACACTTGCATTATCACAGCTTTTGGGAGACACCACATATTCAAACCAAATATAATTTGGCTTATAATATTATAAAACGTCTTGTTTTATAACCACTTGTGAAAACTTGGTCACAGTGGATTTCAAACAAGATCATAAATTGAGGACTGTTAATATATCTAACAATTTAGTTTATCATTTTTATTAATTTCTGCTTCAATTGTCCATTGAGTTGTCTGCTTGCCAGGATAGGTCCCATTCCCTGCTACTCATGAGGTGGTATGAGTCAGCATAGCTCTGTGCTCTAGAAAAGGCTCCCATAATTAATGAATGGATGGATAACCTTGAACTGTGCTAGGCTAATACTAAGTGCTTAATAAATGTTAGCCATTAGTTTTACTCAGAGGGAAAAACATCTACAGAGAGGTGATGCTGGTATATCAGATGTGGGCCTAGTTCTCAGGGTCAAGTGCCCATTCGATGAACAAAGATGGCTGAAGATAGCGATTAGGATAACGGAAAGGGAAGTCCCAGCTAAGATTTCAGGAGTGTATGGCCTAAACCATACTTCCTTTTTGTTGTTATTTTCCTACAAAGAGAATGTAAAATCAGATATGAACTTTATTTTTTTTGGTACTAGGGATGAACTCAGGGACCCATAACCACTAAGCCACATTCCCAGTCCTTTTATTTTTTATTTTGAGACAGAGTCGTACTAAGTTACCTAGGGCCTTGCTAAGTTGCTTAGGCTGATTTTGAACTTGCAATCTTCCTGTCTTAATCTCTTGAGCCACTGGGATTACAGGCATGCACTCCAGTACCCCGCTTAACTTTACTTTTGACAGTTTAAATTGTTGCTTGCATCAGCAAAAATTCCCCATCCTGATGACTGTACAGTTAGGGTTTATTTGTTCCCTTACACACAAACAACAGAGACCATGAGTTGTTGCATACTTTTTAGGATATAAATGACTTGTGCATCTCTCAATGTGAAAACAGACATAGTTTTCATGAACACGGAGAAGTTCAGCTACAAAAGAATTCTTAGCTATAATAAGTAGCATGCAACTGAGATAATGGAAAAAGAATGAGGAAGTAGTTTCTTCATCATGGTGAAAAGGAGAGAGGGTCCTTTTCTTCCCTTGAGAAAGGCATCTATTAACTGCAAAATAAATGACTGGGACTTTGGAGCCAGGACTCCACCATGACAGCATTGTGCAATAATAGCTGCTTTCATATATAGATTTCACAACAGTTTATGGACACTTGGACTTAGCGTACTCATGTGGCTCATGCTGAGTTTTTATTTCCTCCCTTTTAACTGAAGAAAACCAGGGCAGAAAATTTTTAAAGGGTTACTTGAAGTTACAAAGCTTGGATTTGAACCTAGTACTCAAAGTTTCAGGGCTAGAGACCCACATCGTGGGTTGACAGATGACTTATTGTTGTTGTTTTATGGAGCAGGATGTGGTTGCCAGTGAATCAGAAGAAGGAGGAGGCTGGGAGCTCAGGAGAGACTCTTGGGGACCAGGAATCCTGATGGGAGGGCCAGGTGTCTCTCATCACTACACTCTATCTGGCTTAGCCTTGCTGTGTTGCCAAACAGACACATGGGGATTTCAATTCATACCCACTGCTCTGGGTTCTTCTCTCGACATGGGCCAAGAGTCCTGGATGAAGTATGTGTGTGGAGTGGGCTTTGATATGGGTTGAGAGGGGAGTAGGTGTACACTGGTGAACAGAGTGGCCAGACGTTACCAAGTGAAGGAAAACAGTCAAAGGACAAGGGGTGATGTTAACCCTTCTCATTATCTTGACGTATTTTAAAAGGAAGAGGGGAGCTGGGCATGGTGGTGCATTCCTGTAATCACAGCAACTGGGGAGGCTGAGGAAGGAAGATGGCAAATTGGAGGTAAGTCTTAGAAACTTAGCTAGATCCCCAGCAGCTTGGTAAGACCCTGTCTCAAAATTGAAAATAAAAAGGAAAAAGGGCTGAGAGTGTAGCTCAGTGGTAACTTTCCCTGGGTTCAATTCCCAGTAGCAAAAAAAAAAAAGAAAAAAAAGAAAGAAAAGACAGAACCATACACAGCTAGATTTGAGGTCAGTTTCAGACAGCCAGTTGTGACAACTACATCCATGAAATAACTAGGCCCACACTCGTCAGGATCCAAAAAGAATCCATCAGGACCCATCTGAACTTGTAAATTAGGAGTAAAAGTGATTTTTTAAAACTTACTTTGTTTTCTCATACCATTTTACAATGAATTTTTAAAGATTGTGCATGACTATTTCTTTCAAAGGAACTAGAGCTTTAAGAAAGGAATGACTTGGAGGTTCCTATAAAGGCAGGTACAAGATCTGGGTACAAAGAAAGGGGTATGGTAGGGTACTCCTGTAGTCCTGGCCACTCAGGAGGCTGAGGCAGGGGATTGCTTCAGCTCTGAAGTTTGGGACCAGCTTTGTCTAGGTCACAGCCCCTCTGAAGGAAAGAAAAAGAAAAAAAAAGAAAGGTTCTCTTTGGCTGAAAAAATTACCATATTTCTGAGTTTGACTCAGTTACCTAAAAGTAGCAGCAAATCATTCACTTCTTCCCAGGGAGTTGTTTCATGTTTCAGGAAAATTTATAAGCACATCTAAATCTAAACAAGAAAAGCTGTCATATATAAGGGCTTAGGTGGAAGTACCAGGCAGAAGAAAATACTCTAGTTGCTATCAGTTTTTATTCTAAATTGCTTCAGTTCTTTAAAAACTAATATCTTACAGAGGATCTAGTCCACAACTCTTAACAGAATAATTACACAAATTAGAAATATACAAATAAATATTTTTCATTAAATGATGTTAAAATGTCTTCAAGTAACAGTTTATATAGCTTTATTTACATATGAGATTATGCTCATGTTCTTGTTTGCACCAAAATTTTGGAGAATGTTAAGATAATTTTGCCTTGATTCAAAAATACCTCAAACCAGACACATGCCTGTAATTTCAGTGGCTTGAGAGGCTGAGGGAGAAGGATTACAAGTTCAAGGCCAGCCTCAGCAACTTAGACCCTGATTCAAAATAAAAAATACTAAGGGTTGGGGATACAGTTCAGTGGTAGAGCACCCCTAGGTTCAAAAAACAAAGCCAGACAAAACAAAACAAAAAATCAAACAGAGCAAAAGTTTATTTGACACTCTTATCATCCACATATCAGGAAACAACGCTGTGTAATGGTAATTAACATTCATAATTTGGGAGTATGAAAAGATCCTCAAATGCTTTTTTGTGTGTGTGTGTGTGTGTGTGTGTGTGTGTGTGTATGTTCACGCCAGGGATTGAACTCAGGGGCACTCTACTACTAAGCCACATCCCCGGCCCTATTTTCTATTTTATTTAGAGACAGGGCCTCCCTAAATTGTTCAGCATCTCACCGTTACTGAGGCTGGCTTTGAACTTATGATCCTCTGCCTCAGCCTCCCTAGCCTCTGGGATTACAGGCGTGTGCCACTATGCCCAGCCTCAAATGCCTATTAAATCATCAAAGATAAAATGATGTTTCATATAGTGCTTTTTTAGACCTTGAGATAGTTTTAATAGCAAATTATTTTATAGCTTTTTGAGTCTTGAAACTTGGGGAAGTCACCTATGGTATAAAAGCAGATTCTCTTAACTAGAACATGCAATTAACTGGAAAAAAACATTCTCTAAGCCTGCATGCTAAGACAGTTTGTGAAAAAAGGAAACATGGCCAAAGCCAAAGATTTCCTCTTCTTATAAACCTTGAACGGAGTATGTCCCTCACCAATTATATAGGGCCCCTTGGGTCTCAGAACTTTCCATAAGTGTTTTGGTCTCTATGACGATGTACCCAGTTGGCGAAGCGGAAAAACCAGTGATAAGGTGGAGGCAGGCACCAGGCACCGGTGGGGAGAAGTCTGTAGAAAACCAAGCAGGTTCTTTTTGAGCATCTAGGGGTGACTGCTTCACCTTGCCAGAATCTGCAGAGCTGCGCGGGCCAGGCTGCCCCGAGTTCCCACCTCTCCAGGAAAGTTCTAGCAGGCTGGCAGCTCTGGAAGCCCAGGGCTTCTGATGGCTGTTGCTAAGCTGGGGGTTGGGGACTCCCTTTGGGACTCCACTTCCGTTGATGCTTAAGCTTCACCCTTCTTGTGCCCTCAGAGGGCATGACTCAGGTGAAGGGAGTTCATTTTGGCCAGCCCCCTGGCCTCATGCAGCCCTTCAGCATCCCCGTTCAAATTACACTCCAGGGCAGCCGGAGGTGCCAGGGGAGGTAAGTTACCACCAGACTCTCTCAGCCTATAACGGGCATCTTATGGAAGAAATTGTTAAAAGGGGGGCTATAATATATTTTTTTTTGTACTGGGGATTGAACTCAGGAGCCCTCAACCCCTGAGCCACATCCCCAGCCCTATGTTGTATTTTATTTAGACACAGGGTCTCAGCGAGTTGCTTAATGCCTTGTTTTTGCTGAGGCTGGCTTTGAATCTCAATCCTCCTGTCTCAGCCTCCAGAGCTACTGGGATTACAGGTGTGAGCCACTGGCTGTAATAAATTTGGGGGTTGGGTTTGGTGTTTGTGCTTTGAAAACGCCCACCTGCCATGCCTCTCAGGGTACCTCTGAGGCTTCCCCAGCAATGCTGACATCATAGGCTGCATCCTTTCTGGTTGAATTCCTCCCTAGCTTTCAAGTTATTGGAGACCAATAACTCCCCTCTGGATCCCAGAACTAGAATATGGCCCAGCACATAGTTAGTGCGCAGTCAATATCTCTTGGTTGAATGAAGGAATGAGGAAATGACACCAGTATTTTGGTCCTATTTGTGAGTCCTTCCAGTCACTGTTTGGATTCAGTGCCCAGCTCCACTTAACTAGGTGTATGGCTCTGGGCAAGTGACTTAACTTGTCTCAACCTCTTATCTCTGAAATGGAGATAGGAAGAGAGCCCACATTCCCTAGCACAGTGATCTACTCTCCGAGCATTCTAAACTAGATCATCAGATTTTGTGTACATTTTAGCTATTGTTATTAGCTACCCTCTTCCACTCCTTAAAGGGGAAGTAAGATCAATCATTTTTCTGCACCCCTTTCTCCCCAGGGGAATGATGAGCAGAGGAGCTGAGAGCCCTTAGGGAAGTGGCACTCCCCACTACCCTGGGGTTGGAGTGGTGAGGCAGTCAGCAGTGGTCACCAAAACAGAGAGGAGCAATGCCTGAGGGTTTTCAAACAACGAGAGTAAAAGCATGCCAGCATTTTCTTGGGAGGGGTACTAGTCACAACCAAGTTCACTATCTGAAAAGTTGGATGACCTTGTTAGAGGTTCAAGTGGAGTTGGAGCTTAAAAAGTAGAAGCACTGAAGATTGCAATGTCATCACATTTATCTACACCACTATCTTCTAGCTACGCTGGTGGATATTTGAGGGAGAAAAAACAGGAGAAGAGGGAGATATAGGGATTTGGATGAGGTCTGGGGATGAAGGAACGGTCAGAGCATGGAGGAGAAAGCGATTCTCCTCTCCTAGGAATGAACAAATGCTTTTATGAGTAGACAATTAAAGTGAATCACTGCATGGCAAATGATCAAACGCAAACATGCAAGAAAACAAGTTTTTAATGCCCTGTTCACAGCCCAATTAACTAGATATAAAGAGAGTCATATTAACTCCAAAGCAAGGTAGCATCTCATTTTCTTTTCCAAAACTCACAATTGAATGATTGCTCTTTCCTCTTGATGAACTTGATGAACCATGTTGACTTTACTCAACCTCCTTTGCTGTTTCAAAAGAAGTTGTTAAATAATTTTGTCATTAAAAGATGGAAGGGTAACAGTAATTGCTAAAGTCTCCTCTGCAACAAAAACAAATTACAGGGAGATATTAATTTAATGTACCCCATGCTTAGGAGTTACATACGCATGTGAAGTAAGTACTGGGTGAATTATGAAGTTTGATGAGCCACAGCATGTTTCTAAGGAACACTTCTTGCACAAGTTTCAGTGTTGGAGGGAGAGGCTGCTGGCTTCTGTCCTGCTCACACCCAGATGAGCGTGTTAGAGCTTTGTCATCGAGTTTGCCTCAGGCTGAGCCAGAATGCACTGTGCTGTGCTCAGGTCTGGTGGGAAAGTCGGTCCTACCTGCTATGCAGAGGACCAGCAGGGTGGACACTGCCTTGACTATGACTAAACATTTCCAGGAAATACCTTGGTTAGAAATGGAGATGTATTACTAGCACAAAGAAGTAAAACTGCCTTCCCTGATATCACTGACTTGAGAGAGAATTAGATCATTTGTAAGTGCTTTGAGATCCTTGGATGAAAGGTGTTGGTAAACATCACAAAGTTAATTATAGGGCTGTTTGTGGTCTCTGAGAACTGGAAACAATGTAATAATATCCAACAATGAAGACATGGTTAAAGAAATTATGGAATATCCACCTGATAGAATATTGTGTATCCAATAGAATAGCTACAAAGAATAACTAATGACATGGGAAACAAGTGAATAAGATTAAAACCCCTAAACTCTATCTAGTGTGACTGCATTCATTTGAAACAATATAGAAAAAGGTAGGAATAACCTAGCAAATGAGCAGGAATTACCTCTAAAGGATTGTGGGGTTATTTTTTCCTCTTTCTTAGACTTATATTTTCTGAGTTTCATACAATGAGCATACAAAAACATGTTGCTCTCATGAATCCTTTGCTAGTTTTTGAGACTTTCTTTACAGCTAAGTTTGTGGTCAGGTCTCATAAATGTTTCCTATGTGCTTGAGAAGACTGCATTCTACAGGGGACAGTAATATCTATTATGTAGGTAAGGCTTGTTAATTACTTTGCTCAGACCTCTTTCCTTATTGACTTCTCTGATTGAGCTATCAATTACTCAATTACAATGAAAGAGTGTATAAAAATATCTCATAATCTGACAGTGGATTTTGTCTATTTCTTCTTATAGTTCTGTCAATGAGGTGATGCTATTAGGTATATACAAATTAGAATTGTTATATCTTCCAGGTGAATCAAAGTTTTTTTAATCAATGTTACTATCGTTACTTCTAACAAAGCCTTTAATCTTAAGGTTCATATCGGCTTGCTTTTTGTTACACTTTGTGTATTGAATCTCAGCTTTTCTGTATCTGTGAATACACAGATGTGTCTTTTGTAAAAATATAAACATATTTAAATCTAGTCTGACAATCTTCATCTTTTAACATCTTTTAATCTTCTTAGATTTCGTATAATTTCTGATATACTGATAGAATAACATTATTCTATCAGGCTATTTGTGTTATTTGTCCTGCCTTTTCCATGAGAGATTTTTCTTCCTTTTTGCTTTCTTTTGGATTGATTTCTCCCCTTCTAATAATTTGGAAATTATGTCTCCTATTTCTATTCTTTTAGGGGCTACTCCAGAAATTTAATATGCAGACCAGAACTTATCAAAGTAAATTCAATATCTTTATCTCCACCCACCCAACTTCTAGCCACTTAGAACACTTTAGCATTGTTACCCCCTCCAAATTATATGCTCTTGTCATGTATTTTAAGTGTCCAAAACATTTCCATAGTAATAAAACTAAAGAATATTATTATTTTTTAGAGTCAATGTCTTTACTTACTTATTCCTGTATTTGCTCTTCATTTCTGATGAAATCTCAGTTCTGCCTCCTGGACTATTCTCCTTCAGCTTAGAGTAAATACTTGACCTTTTCCTTTAGAGTCTAGGAGGGCAAACTCAGTTTTGTGGGTGTCTGAAATTTTTTATTTCACACTTGGGCTTGAGAAATTCTTTTGCTGGGTATAGAAACTTGTAGTTACTCTGTCTCAGTGTATTGACAACATTCCTGTCCTCTGGCTTGGATTCTTGTTATAGAGAAGTAAGCTCTCAGCTCATCAGTCCTTTGAAATCATACTGTCTTTTTCTCTGGCTTCTGTTAAGTATCGCCCCCCCCCCCCCCCCATTTTTGTAAGAGTGCAATATATCTGTGACTCTGTCTAGGTGTGAATTTCTTTTTATTTTATGCCACAGGATCTTTCTAAGTTGCCCAGGCTGGCTTTGAGCTCATGATCCTCCTGCCTCAGCCCCAAAAGTAGCTGCTATTACAGGTTTACAGCCACTATCTTTAGCATATGTGTTCATTTTTAATGACTACTTTATGATACCCCTTCCCCACAACATGATATAACTTCTTTACAAGGGATTTATGAGGTTGCCAATTTTTTAGAAAGCCTTAGAACAAAGTAGACAGAAATATTGAAAATAGGAAAGCAGTTGTAGTGTCCTAGCAGTTCTGATTTCTACCTTAGATCAGAATCTAACAGGTTATGCCAGTTCCCTGCAACACACCACTATAATTGGGCATATTTAGTGAATGTATTAGAAATGCCAGGAGGCCTCATTATAGGCCTCTTCATCCATGGATTCCAAGGGTATCTTGCAATAAATCTCCACATACCTTATGACACAGAGCAATTGATGTCCACCGTCAGAGCAAAGGGAACATGCAGGGTGTTTGGTATTGGAAACTACAGAAAATACCCAAACTTTACCTTAGGGCTAAAACTCTTTCCCTAAGATATTGGATTTGCTGATAAATCAAAAATATTCTGTCTCAAATTTTATGAAGGTTTTTTTTTCTGTGTCCATTCTCTCAGAGTAGAAGGATAGAGGATAAATGAAGTATCAAAGGAGGTTATAAAGTTCTTTATCCTCCAAAGTGGCAATCTTTAGAAGCAACTGCTCCCCCGTGGGGGCTCCCAAGGCACCTTGGATTGCCTGACATTCCTCTTGCTCTGTTTAGAGGCTGAACATGCTGCAGGGGTGAAGGAGAGGAAAGGGCAAGGACATGGAATAAAATATGAAATATAATTTTTTTGGGAAAAAAAAACCTTGATAAGGTTTTTGTTTGGCTTCAAAATTTAGTAAGGTTTTCAGGCAGCTTTATGGAGCCTAAGTTTTTACAATTATAAGCATTTATTTGGTTTATCAATTCATAAAGCCTCTTAAAATAGAACCATCCCTAGGACTCAAATGGCTACTGAGCAGGGGATGGCAAATTAGTGACACTATCATGTGAAATTCTGGGACTGTAGCAAACTGGAGAACAGAGTCTGCCCACAGGGCAGCCACTGGTTGGCCCGGCCTCAACTGTTTGTAGGAATGTAGCTTGTGATGTTTTTCAAAAGTCAGAAATCAGCATTTTCATGGGCAATCTCATGATTTTAAAGTGTTAGCAACTAATCCCACATTAAAATAAATAAATAAATAAAAGAATCCAGAGAGAAGGCCAAATAAAATATATCCATGGGCTGGATGCTGTCCATGGGCCACCAGTTTGTGACCTTTGTGTTGGACTTTACCATTCACTAGACACCCCACTGTGAAGTAATTTATCACATCCTTTGTTGCAGCAGGCTCTCAGGCAGAGCAGAGAGAAGAAACTCAGGGACACTTATGCAGAGCAGCGAGCAGATGGAGAGGAGAAGTGGACAGGAGAAGACAGCAGGGACAACTTCATAAATCATAGTCGGCTGAGCCATGGGTCTGGGAGTGCAGTTGGTGGGGTGCTGCCTTGCCCACATGCAAATATGAAAGAATAAGACAAACCCTGCTGTTTCAGGATGCTCTTAATTCCAAAAGTGAAGCTTCTCAGTCATTCTTACCAGACAGAATCCATAAGAGAATGTAAAAAATGTTTTCAGAAAGGATGTGCAATATCCCTGAAAGAAAAATCAGTTTATAACACTTATTCATATAAAACAAAATTAGAAAAAATACTTTTAGGTAATTCTTTACTAGTCATTGATTACATAGATTCCCTAAAGCCGTTTACCAGACCACGTTACTCAGACCTGTTTGTTACTATATCTTTAAAAATATGTCCTAGAACACCATCAAAGCTTATTTAGATGGACTTCCCACCAAGCTCTGAAAGGGGAATCTTGTTGTGTTGCATTGAACCTGTTCATAGCCTTCAGGGGTTGCAAATGGGATTATCCTCCTACTCCCTATGTTGGTAAATGCCACTTGTTTCTGAGCTTGTCTCAATCTCCCCCATCATTTCCTCCAAAGGACAGCCTTTCCTACCTCGGTGAAGAAGAGATATAGAGACTATAAGGACGGAGACCCACCAGAGGTGCACAGGAAGCTGCCCTCCAGTGCTGGAGAGGACAGAGCCATGTTGCTAGGGTATGCAATGATGGGCTTCTCCATCCTAATGTTCTTCTTGCTTGGAACAACCATCCTAAAGCCTTTCATGCTCAGGTAAGAATCAGAGTCAGAGATCCCGAGTTTACAATTCAGATCCTACCCAGGCACAGTGGTAAAGCTGGGAAGGCTGGCGTAGGTTTCTCCAGTTTCTGCTCTTCTGAAGGTGCAATTACTTTTCCTTCTCTTTCTGCGGGAAAACTGCTGGGTTTGGGGAATAAAGTGGTAAGAATGTGGAAGATATCCTTCCCCTACTCAATCTCTCATTTCCATACACCTCCAAACATAATCTACAACTTAGATATTTATTTAAGTCACAAATTCTCCATTTAAAAATGTCATTTCTCAGGGAAATGGGAAATATTAATCCTTCCCTGTGGAAACAATGAAAGTTTTTTGAATTTGACAATCTCTATCCAACTCCATAATAGTTGCTCAATAAATATTAGTTTCCTTTCTTTAAACTTGCTTCCCATTAAATGCATGTAAAAGCAAAGGATGCTTTTACTTTGGACATTGAAAGGGCAATGAAGGCCCAGGGAGAATGGGAAAAGAAGGCCTAGGAGTCCAATGAGGGAGAGGGAGTGAGTGGCCTACTTGTGTTATTTTTTTCCAGATTCATCTCCTCCCATTCCTGAGTGACCAGTGATAGGGGAAAAGGCAGAGAGGGCACCATCCACTAAACATATGGTGCTGCTATTATAAGTATTCCAAGGAATTTTCTCTCTGACATTAGGACCAGAAGAACTGGTTCTGTTCCTAATCAACCAGCTCACTTTTATTCAGTAGAAGCCAGGAATCATACATCTAGCTGGCTGCTAGGAAGCTCAGAGCTCAGTTCTTATAACTAGAAGGGATCGCTGATGGTTTTCGGTTTGATGCTTGTACCTCAATTCTGACTTTATTGTTTTCTCTCCTCCTTTTCCTGTTACTCCATTTTTCTCATCTATTTTAAAAATTAACTGAATTACATATATCTACATATTTGAATGAATCTGTGTAAGTGTGCGTGTGTGTGTGTGTGTGTGTGTGTGTGAGAGAGAGAGAGAGAGAGAGAGAGAGAGAGAGAGAGAGAGAATGAATATGCACACACAGGCAGACCAGATTAGTTTTAAAAATGTGATCTATTTGGGAGATGGGTTGAGGATACCTCCTGTAATCTGGCACCAAACTGTTGCTCATATTTAAGGTTTACTTTTCTAAGTATTTCTGGAAATTGTTCGGTTAAAGTAATAAAGTGAATGCTTAAGGGCAATGAGTTCATATCTCTCATCTTGTGCCATCTCGAAGAGTTCTGCTCCAGAAAATATGGTAGTTAGGAAGACTTTGGTAGTTCTTACCCATCCTCATGATCTTGATCCCTCATTTTCCCACCAGTGATGATAGATTTTTGTCACAGCTGCAGACAAATACACCCACAATGCTATTGAAAGAATGTGTTTACTTTTTAGTCCTAAATATGTCCTTGGTTCAAGCTGGGTGCAGTGGTGCATGCCTGTAATCTCAGCAACTTGGGAGGCTGAGGCAGGAGGATTGCGAGTTCAAAGCCAGATTCAGCAAAAGCAAGGTGCTTAGCAACTCAGTGAGACCCTGTCTCTAAAAAAAATACAAAATAGGGCTGGGGATGTGGCTCAGTGGTCAAGTACCTCTGAGTTCAATCCCTAGTCCCGTGGCCCCTGCCCAAAAATATGTTCTTGGTTCCAGTTGAGAGGTTCTAACCTGGCTCTTGTGTGTAGGACAGAATGTCGTACTCTTTATAGCAGAGCTTTTTGAACTTTTCAAGGGGAGATTCAAATCATACTGTTTGTACTTGCTCCAGCTGTAGAGAACTTAGATTCTAAGAGATAAGAAAGCATCCCAAGATGCCTAGGTTAAGTAGATAGGTTAATTTAGTGAAGCAGCAGGCCAGAGCTAAACCTATAAAAGAACTTTATTTGCTATTTTTGATTTTCACTTGCCCAACAAATTTTCTAGGTCTACCTCCATTTTTTTTTTTTTTTTTTTACGGTTTGCAGTATTTTGAGTGTCTGTATTAGTTTTCTGTTGTCGCTGTAACAAGTTACCATAAGCTTGGTTAACTTAACACAAATTGATCATCTCACATCTCTGTAGGTCAGAAGTCAGACTCAGGTGTCACAGGGCTAACACCAAGGCTTTGGCTGGGATGCATTCCCTTCTAGATGTTCCAGAAGAGAACATTTTCTGGAACACTTTCAGGAGGCTGCTGAAGTCCTGGCTCCTGGGCTTCATTGTCCTCCCTCTTAGAAACCAGCAAAAGCAGGCTAAGTGCCCTGAACACCTTTATGTCACAGCACCCCGACACTGCTCTCACTGCCCCACTTCTATGGGGTTTTTATTCTGGAGGGGCAGGGACTTTATTTACCTACCACTTCCATAGCCCCTGGAGGTCAGCCAGGTTAAACTGCATAGTGTGTCTCCAGTTTATTATATTAATAAAGAAAAATGATTATTTATGGTCAATGGTATTAAGAAGTGTGATATGAATCTAACTAAACAATGCATTTAGCATTCTGACTTTAAGGCTTGCTAATCTAACTTCTTGTTTCAGGCAAGAGGAAATAAACAGAACCACCTAGATGTGTGAGGCTGCATGACGAGCTGGTCCCACACAATTCCAGCATTTCCTCTTGGTCTCATTTACTCTCTCTTGTTCTCTAATTATTTTATCTGTATAGATCTTTTCTCAATACTACTACAAAATCTTCAGGGCGGGGACTTTATCTACCTACCACTTCCATAGCACCTAAGACATTTCGTGTATGTAGTACATGTGCAAATTCTCAAGGACTATTTTTCAAGTAAAATTTAATTTAGTACAATCCTCATGGAGCATTTAGGATGGGAGAGGCATTATGCCTTACACTTTAAGAAACATAAAGATGAACAAGATGTAGTTCCTGACTTTAAAAGAACTTCAGAGAACAAAAATGTGGTAGGTATTATAATACATATTCCTTGTATGCTTGCATTTGGCTGTTTGTTTGGAAGCAGAGTGGGTATATGGAAATGTGTCTTGTTAGCAGAACTTTCTGCAGGTTATGTTGACTAAGCCTTATAGTTGACTCTTCCAAAGGCAGTTATGAGGACAACTAGTGGGTGTACAGTGTGAATCTTGGTGACACAGCACTTAGGGTAATACTACTTAGTCTATTTCTCCAAATACTTGTATCTTAAATACTGTTAAATACACAGACTCCTGGGCCTCAGACCTATTAAGACAGAATCTCTGGGAGTGTAGCCCTGGAGTACACAAATTCTACCATACACATTCAGGTAATTCTGAGCTTTGAAAACCATTGATCTAAGGGGATCTTAGGGTTGGCATAGTGAGAAATGTCAGTAGGATCAGAATTGAGATGGAACTGGGCCATCTGCTGCTGTTTATCCCATCTCTACGTCCTCTACACTCTCCTCCTTGATCATTACGTGGCTTCTGTAATGATCCTGCATCATAACCTTTAAATAGACAAATGCCTTGGGCTACTACATTAGAAATATGAAACTAAAATTCCTAGTAGGAGATGAGTATTTATTTTTTCATATTGAAGCACTCAGCGCAAAGAGTCGAACTGCACTACCATCCACACGCACATCATGGAGGACTGGTTGGACTGTGCTTTCAGCTGTGGCATGGACTGCCAAGGCCAGGGGAAGTACCCATGTCTTCAGGTGTTTGTGAACCTTACCCATTCAGGTCAGAAAGCTCTGCTGCATTATAATGAAGAGGCTGTTCAGATCAATTCCAAGGTAATGTAAAGTTCATGTAATAGATTTCTTAGAACAACCACCCTTTCATGACAGACTGTCCTAGCAGGGTGCAGAACCTAGAGCCATCTGTAGAGAAAAATCTGTTTCCTTCAAGCAAACATTTCCAAAGTGGTCAAATCAGGATAAATGAAGCTTACAGAATTCTTGGAGGACAAATAGGGTATACAGAAAGGAGAGGCATTATTCCAGTTTTGGTATCTGAAATTCGTAGGCTGAGCAGTTTTCAGTAGGCAGTCTTACATGGGGAGCTCACACTCTCATCAACAAATGTTAAAATGTACTCAAGGTTGACCTTAAGTCAGTCAAACAAGATTTCTTATTAAATTTAATGGATTGTTATACTTTTAATAACTTATACAACCACTTAAAATTTATATATACACTTAATTATAAAAGTTGCATTAGATTGACATTTACATTTTGATGTCTTAAAGCACTAATTTCAATCTGATGAGTTGTTTTCTATTTTGGATGCAATAATTTTTAAGGTCTCAAACATTTTTAGTCCCTAACACAGTCCCCTAAGTTCCTAATGGATATGGTAATGAACTTTAAACTTTTTTTCTTAGCACTGGGAAATGGCCATTTCACTGTACTCTCCTGTCAACCTTTCCCTATGAACTATGTAATATTTAACCACTTTCTAAGACTGAAATTTTTCACTACAAGCTTAAGCCTGAAGTTACTTTAGAATTGAAGCTGTTGCTTGGTATTAGTGACAGTGTCCTTGTCTTTTTTCTCCTCCATATTCCTAGTGTTTTTATACACCTAAGTGCCATCGAGATAGGAACCATTTGCTCAACAGTGCCCTGGACATAAAGGAATTCTTCGATCACAAAAATGGAACCCCGTTTTCATGTTTCTACTATCCAGATGGACAATCTGAAGATGTCATTCTTATAAAAAAGTACAACCACATGGTTGTCTTCCATTGTTTATTCTGGCCCTCACTGACTTTGCTAGGTGGTGCCCTGATTGTTGGCATGGTGAGACTGACACAGTGCCTGTCCCTACAGTGTGGAAAATACAGCACTTCAGTCAGAGATCAGGCAAGTGGCAGAGTACACTCTATAGGACAGCAGCAAATCCAATTGTGGAGTTTGGGGAGGAGCAAAGGAAGGAGCAGAGAGATGTTAAGACAGTGGCCAAAGTAAAGCGCTGGCCTCACAAAGTGAAATTTCTGCAGTTGAAGACCTAAGTATGGTTGCCTGCCAATTAGTCTAACCACCCAAAGTTACACATTGCATTTTTATGTGGGAAACATTTTTTTAAAAGCTTCATTGTGTAATTTATTCATTCTGTAAATATGTACAGACTCACCTCCTTTCTACTCCAAACCTCCTTCCACATAAGAGCCAAGGAAGCATACAGGGCAAAATGAGTTCAAGGTAGCTATTCTTAGTACCTAAGTTTAGCCCTTGCTAGAATTTGTCAGTATGGAAACAAATGACCAAGGTATCTACTGAGCACTTGACTGTCAGCCTAACTCTATGCAGTATAGTTCACGCAATAATTTTTCTATCAAAAAAAAAAAAAAAAAAATCCTTAGTGGTGTGTGGTGATGCACACCTGCAGTCCCAGTGACTAAGGAGGCCCAGGCAGGAGTATCACAAGTTCAAGGCTAGCCTCAGCAACTTTGCGAGACCCTGTCTTAAAATAAGAAATAAAAAGCCTGGGGATATGGCTCAGTGGTTAAGTGTCTCTGGGTTGAATTCCCAGAACCAAAAAAAAAAAAAAAAAAAAAAATCCGTGGCAAAGAATAGTTCATTCTTTATAAAAAGACAAAAATGAGGGGCTGGTGTTGGGCTCAGTGGTAGAGCACTTGCCTAGCATACGTGAGGCACTGGGTTTGATTATCAGCACCACATACAAATAAATTAAATAAAGGTCCATCAACAACAACAAAAAATTAGCTGGGTGTGGTAGTGCATGCTTGTGATCCTTGAAGGTGAGGCAGGATGATCACGAGTTCGAAGCCAGCTTCAGCAACTTAGCAAGGCCCTAAGCAACTCAGCGAGACCTTGTCTCTAAATAAAATATAAAAAGGGATGGGGATGTAGCTTAATAGGTAAACCTTTTCAGGCTTAATCCCTGGTTTAAAAAAAAAAAATGTATCATGGTTAATAAACTGTGGACCTACCATTTTTTAGTTTTTTTCACCATTCATGATAAAAGAGGAAAGCTTTCCAGAGAGCTAAGTTTAATTATATTTAACCTTGCCATGTACCACAACATTTTTTTCTAGTTTATTATGCTTTTCATTAGCTCACTTTACTCTGTGCACATTCTGACAGGAGTAGGAGAAATGACTAGAAATGTAAAGTGAAGAGAAGCTGTATTGGATTTCAACGTCTACTTCAGATAATCCACACTGCAGGAAAGCGATGCAGGGCTAGTTAGCAGTTGTCTGTACTTTAATGGTGTCACAAGATTCTTCCCACAAGTGCTTTCCAGATTGAGTTGAAAAGAATTTGCTTGTGGGTTGGAGTTGTAGCTCAGCAGTAGAGCACCTGCCTGGCACGTGTGAGGCACGGTGTTCGATTCTCAGCACCACATAAAAATAAACAAAAGCTTTGTGTCCATCTACAACTTAAAAAAAAAAAAAGAATTTGATTTTCCAGTGTGCCTCAAAATATCTTTAAAATTTTATCAAAAAGTCTTAAATAATAGACAACAGAATGAGACTTTTAGTATTATTAGTGGTGCTGGGGGTTGAACTTAGAGCCCCATGTGTGCTAGGCAGGCGCTTTACCACTGAGCTCCATCCCAGCCCACAAGTCAGATTTTTGAAGCAACTTTTATGTGTAGATGTAATCAAACTCTAAACTCCTGATTCTGAATCAGTTTAATGCCTTTTACCAATTAATTTCAAGCCACAAACTAGTAAATAAACTGAATTTAACAGAGCAATGTTGACTTGACCAGTAACAAATGATCTTGGATGTTTCACCTTCTTTTTTGTATGGAATGGTAGAGAGAACATGTCTCAGAGCAGGATTCATTTCAGTTTGTAGGCTACCAAACAACTTTTTAGATGCATATTCTGGGGCAAATCTGAAAAGCTGTCTCAACCTCTGAGTTCTCATGTACACAACAGGGATAATGTCTTCATGTTTTTAAGGCATAAACAAGGTAGAGTCAATGAAACACAAAGCTTAGTTTCTGACATCGAGTAGTGGTGCTCAAAAATGTTTGTAGCTAAAAACAAACAAACAAGCAACAACAACAACAAAAAAAACCCCTTGAGTTCCTATAGTCAGCCTTGGTACTTTTCATTGGACAATGGATATAGAGGGTAGGGAAGAGTGCTGCCAGAGAGAATTCCTCTGCCCCCACCCCATTCTCTTGGCTAAATGTGACACACATTTAAGGTTCAGAACTTGTGGTTTAAAGTTATGACAAAATCATTCTGTATACCAAAGACTTCCCTGAAATAAAGTATATGTATGCATGTCTATTTTAAATCATTCTGTAAAAGAAAATTCTGTAGTTTTCTTAAATGAAGGTTGCATCTCTATTTCTTAATAAATTTGGCTTTCGCCTCAACAATGTGCAATTCTTGTGATTTTTTTCTAAAAAAAATTCAAAACTACCAATTTGAAACCCAAAGCATATGCTTCAATTATTGTTTTTCATTCAGATGTGGTTACTTGGTTCATCCCAGGAAAGACAGACATTATATTTGGAGAGCAAAGTCACTTAAAAGTTAAAACCGTTTGGCAAATCAATAGAATTTAAACAATGATATGCTTAAATGCTTATAAATACTAAATATTAATGCCCATGTGCATTACTGGTCAAAGAAAAGCCCAGACTTACCCTTTGCAATGTTTAATGATAACGGAAAGCAAAACTAGCTTGTTTCTAACTTCACTTTTAAGTTCTGGTCTTCAACTGTTGAAGAAAAAAGTCCATCTACCTATATATATACATACATACATTCATACCTGTGTGTACATACATATATGTCTGCTTAAAGAAGAAGTATAAAATTATTTATGGTTAAAGGAAGTTAACATTTCTCTAATATTTATCACTTTACCAGGTTAGAAAAATTGGTTTTTAAGGCATAATAGTTTCAGGTTTTCAATCAAATTCAGCTAAATTTTGATTATTAGCAACACTGGTTTGCTTTTCAAAAGAAATGGCAAGATAGTAATACACTAAAGATTGTTTGGACACAAATCAAGGTAATTTTTTTTTTTTTTTAATAAACAGCGTGATGTTACAGACTGCAAAGTTAAAGAAAAGCAGACATTGACAGTTTCTGATGAGCACAAACAATAAGTGCAGTCACAGGCCAAACTTCCTGCTATGAACAGCAAGACTGGGAAGAGGTCTTAAATTTAGTGATACTATATTATCCTATATTCTTGATATAATAACACATGCATCTTGCTGTGTTAAATACTTTTTGGGCCATTGTTAAAGGGACACTAAAAACATCTGTCTCCAAACTAATGCAATATACCACAGGACTTCAATTCATTAAATGAACAAAATATAGAGAAACAGACTTGCTATAATTAATGGGGCTAAAAAGGTGGTTTGAGCTCCTTGTTGAGGAATCTAAGATAAACATTTGATGTGTCAGTAGTCTTCTGGTAGTATTACATTTCCCAAGACACTAAGGTGTTATGTTTCAAAAGGACATATTCTTTAACATTTTATTTAACCAAATTTATGTCCAAAGACTGAAACCATTAACTGCAATTTAAAGCTTGGGTTCCATAGCCAAAAAGATTTTTAGAGTCAGATAAAGGTCAAGTTCTCAATCTACTCTAAGGGCATAAATTAAAATCCGATGAAGGACTTTTTCTTATGAAATTAACAGATTGTGACCACATTTGGAAATCTGTACTAGAATTAAGAAGTTTAGTTTTATTAAAGATATTTTAATATGAAACACTCAAGGTTTTCTCCCTCCTTGCTAACCTAAAAGGATCAATAAAATAACAATAACCAAAAATATACCTGGTTCTGCCACAAGATTATTGTAGTGACAGATAAAATGAGGTTGCAGATAAAATTCACTGACTTTACTTGTCTTATCAAATGTATATTAATACTTTTTTTCTGTACTTACCAACATGAAGAATGGAGTCTACTGTTGGTAGTAAAATCCAGTTAAGTCTAACTATGTTATACATACAATGGACTAATTTTACTCCCAACTTCCCCACTAAAGCCTCTTACATGCAGTCATGTAAAAATCAAGTCAGAAAATATCCCTATGGCTCACACCTTCTGCTTTCTGCTAACTATCATGGCTGGAAGAGGAACATATGTAAAACCAAGAAGAAGGAGTGGCACTGCACTAGTAAGGAGGAAGTGCAAAACAAGTGCAGGACTTGAATGAGATAAATACGGTTATTTAATATATCATCTTGGGAGACTCCTAATAAACTTTAAACTCTTCCGAAATTCAGAACCATGTATTTGTTTACATCTTTTATGAAAGATCCCTCTTGACTAGGTCTAGCAGTGTTTGCAAATAGAAATGTGTACAAAAAAACATATACAAATTCATGAATAAAGAAGAAAAGAGAACAAAATAAACATAAAATGCCAAATCAAGAACCTAGGACCATGAACCTCCTCACACTATAGCCTTCTCTACATGGCTAAACAATGATTAAATTTTAGCTAACATCTTTCCTTAATGTTTCCTGCACCAAAGGTATGCCAATTCTGACTTTATAAGTTCTGACTTCATAAACACAGTGCTTTGCAAAACTTCTGTAACATAGGAGCCTGAAGTATTGATTTGTGACTCATCTAATTTTTTTGCCATTAACCTTCTGAGGTAGAGTTACCCATCCAATTTTATTGGGACCATAGTTATCTTGAGTTAAATCCCATAATATTTTCAGAGAGTGGAAATAATTTTTTTTTACAAGAAAAGAAAACAGGCTTCCCAGGCCATGGCACATAAGATATATTTACAATTTTTAATGTAATAATTAAAATGGTTTTGTGTTTTACTTTAAAAAACAGCCCAGCTGTTGTTATTTTGTCACCAAGAATTATTATCTGAGGATACTGCCAGTGCTGAATTTTATAATTCGGCCTTCACAATCCCATCCTCAATGAAGAGTTGATTCCCTGATGGTTTGCGCATATATTCTCACAACTTTCAGCCTTCTGTTAGATATGCCCCATCCAGACAGGGTAGATATATAAAGAATGTAATTCATTTAAACATCTCCTCCTTGTTCTGCCCCCTCCCTCTTCTCAAAAACATCTGAAGTATGAAAGTTGTCTTTAAATAAATAGGAGAAGCACCACAATCTTTTAACACCACATATTGCCTTTAAACTGAATAGTTTAGTGATGTCTTTGACATCAAAATAGTTTTTTAAGGTGGACTCTGAGTGTGTGGGTCCAGCCCAGATCTGTGGCTTGTGCAGACACAGAAACAAGAATTCATGATACTCAGATAAGTTCACATCCTAACTTTAACATACTGCTGGATATTAAATTTCTTCAAAGAGTTGGTAAGCATGGACTATTGATCCAAATATGAGTTAAACGGATTTACAAAATCATTATGTAAAGAACAAATCCAAGTTCATGTGCTGTGACATTTCCATAGTGCCTTTAAAATAGGCTGCTCACAGTTTTTCTTATAATGCTAAACCACTCAGTTTTTGATGGAAAAAGAACACAGATGGACTGTGTTTTACCTATATGAAAATTACCAATTCATTTAAAATAAACTCCAAGAGGGTATACACAGTCTAATCAAGCCATCATTTTCCTGATTAATAAGAACTACACTTAACACAAAATACTTTATCAGCAGCTGTTTTCATCAAAAAACCAATAGTCATAGTTTCACAGTTGAAAAAGTTACACATTAAAATATTTTACAATTCATTATATATTCACCAGGTTCCCATTTCCTAATGGGCTTGTAATATAAAGCAGAATATAAGGGAAAAAACTTGAAGTTGATTACTTTGACACTAAGTTTCACAGAGGACACTAAGAACCACAAAAGGCTTAGGTTCTATCATAAAATAGCAACCAAATTACACTCTTCTTTTAAAAAATCCAATTAGAAACATCTTTTTTAAAAAACCAAATCCCACAATAAGATTAACAGATTTAAATTAACAGCAGTCTAAAAATCCTAAAAAAAAGTTTTGTATAGCTGAGAATATGGTAAAAAGTTAAAGCATGATTTTCAAACAATTGATTATTTCTTGCTACAATGTATTTAAAGTTAGTTTTTTTTTCTTTAGAGGAGCTTTGTTCCCCTCCAAAATAATTATTGAAGGAGTACTTCTCAAGTGACTTAAGGAAACTGTAGAGCCAATAGTCAGTTACATCACATTCAATGACAAGGATTGTCAGCTCTAGGATCTGACCAATCTATGACAACTGCTCTCTGATATTGAAGTACCTGGAAATAGATCTCGTCACCCCATGCAGCTTTTGATTTTTGGTCTTGCCTTTCTGAACACTTCCTGTCCTCCTTTCTTTTTAGTTAGATCACTTAATCTATATTCTTTACAGAATTTGTCTATACTTCTCCAAACAGAATTAATTTGGTTGTAGTAACTTTTGAAAATAAATGTAAATGATGAAGTAAGCTATGTGGGCTTGTGTTTTTATGATGGAGAGGTTCTGGGGGAAAGAGGGGTAATGATAGGAACTACTGTGAAAAAAGGGAGAAATCATAAATTTTGTGCAAGGAGGCTCAAGGCTTTTTTGGCACTTGGGTAAAACACAGTTCTCTGTTAATTCTTCAGTTTCCACCATCAAATTTTCAGATTTGTACCATTTCACTGAGTTTTCCTATAATCAATCCCTGATATAGAAAAGGATGGGATGTTAGTATTTATCAACTGCATATAAGCTAAACAACACAAAATGTAATTGTGAAGTTTAAATAAGTTATGAAATATTTTGTATCTGCAAAAGAATATATCTGGTTTCCTGCTTAAAACAGAGCTTAAATTCTGCTTAACTATTCCAAGACAGTTTATAGAAATAAATTCTAATTTTGAAATTTATTTTTCTTCTTGGCAATATTATATACATGCTTTAATGAAGTACCTAAATCTTCAATAATTATGCCCTTTAAGGGTTCTAAAACAGCCAGATACTAAGAATATTTGTATTAGAGTCCCTTGTTCACTATTCAAGACTTTTACTATAAAAGTATCTGATTTCGTAGACGAATATTTTTAAAGTGATGCTGTTTTACTAGAGTATACAATGTGCACTCTTTATAAAGTTGTTCTCCAATAATATGCCTAATCTAGAAAACTGTCAGTAAATTATTGCACTATTTTTTTTTGTGTGTGTGTGTGTGTGTGTGGCACCTGGACATTTGCTAAAGCTATCTCCTAGGACATTAATCATTCATTTCAAATACTGAGTAAAACATCAGATTCTAGAGTGATGACTAGCATTAGTTCCTACATCTTGGTGATTGTTTAAAAAAAAAAAAAGTTTTAGAATGTGTCCTGTGCTCAAATGAGATTTAATGAGGTTAAAGTGAGACCTGATCACTGGGAAACGATCTTAAAAATAGTTTAACGTCCTATTTTTATCATTGAAATATGGATAAACAGCTTAAAAAGGTAAAAAAGTTCATGGTTTCTATTCTTTCATATTCTAAAGTATTATTCATGAGCATACCTCAGTAGAGGGATTTATGTAATCAGGACGATAGCCTAAATTGTGTTAATTCTGGTAACTTATTTCATATGATTGAACCACTCTTAACTATAAAAGGGTGGAAGATGAGGGATTCATGTGAAAACAGAAAGAAATAAAAGGGAAAAAGGGTGAAGTTCAATCTGTTTTCTTTAAGTAGTTATACATTGGGAATTAGTATTAATGAGAGAGTGCCTGAGCCTCGTCTACAGACCAAGAGAAAAGCTAACCATGCTGCTACTAACAATAAAAATTTGGGGTGCAAAACAATGCATGACTATGGGACAGATTATGTAAATAAAGAATATATATTAATGATAGTTTCTATAATATAAATAGCCTTTAATAAAAAAAATAATCTTTTTAATAACATTAATACTCACTTCTATTTTCTGGAAAACATGCATGAAAAATGTATTCAGTTCAATTGCAAAAGGAGGAAAAAAAAAATCAACTTAAGGTGAACACTGTACAATTCTGGAACAAATACTATTCTTGCTCATTCTTTTTCTATGATGATTATCTTACTTTGTGGGAGTCCAGAATTTCCCTAGGAAATAAGAGTCAGATCCTTGTAAATACTGTTCAGAAAAAAACAATGAAAAAACAAAAAAACA